GTAGTTGTGGCTTGTGGGCTCTAGAGTGCAGGCTCAGTATGTGTGGCACACGGGCTTAGTTGCTCCACGGCATGTGGGATCTTCCCAGACCAGGGCTCGAACCTGTGTCCCCTGCACTGGCAGGCAGATTCTTAACCACTGAGCCACCAGGGAAGTCCCCACTTACTTCTAATAATACTATTAACAACCACAACAGTAATGGCAACTAATATTGAACGTTTACTGTATACCAGGCACTAAAACAAGGGTTTTGCATCCTAATATCATTGAACTCTCCCTGCTACTGACCCGAGATATACATATTGTCACCTTCACTATACATATGAGTAAACTGAGGTGAGAGAAGTTAAAAAAAAAATAGGCCAAGTTTACATGGCTAAAAAGTGGCAATGATAAAGGTCTACTTGATGAGAGAGGAAGAGAGAGGGAGGGAGAGGAAAAACTTCTAAACTGTTAGGCGATACTGCCTGTGATCAACTGGGCAATGGTTTTATGTGGTTCAGGGAGACTTACTGTATTACCCTCTTAATATATAGGTATCTAGGTAGAAATACACTGATTTCTTGTATTCTTTTTTTTAAATAAATTTATTTATTTATTTTTTTGGCTGTGTTGGGTCCTCGTTGCTGCACAAAGGCTTTCTCTAGTTGCGGCGAGCAGGGGCTACTCTTTGTTGCGGTGCACAGGCTTCTCATTGCAGTGGCTTCTCTTGTTGTAGAGCACGGGCTCTAGGCACACGGACTTCAGTAGTTGTGGTATATGGGCTCAGTAGTTGTGGCTCGCAGGCTCTAGAGCGCAGGCTCAGTAGTTGCGGCACACGAGCTTAGTTGCTCTGCAGCATATGGGATCTTCCAGGACCAGGGCTCGAACCCGTGTCCCCTGCATTGGCAGGCAGATTTTTTTTTTTAATAAATTTATTTATTTGTTTTATTTTTGGCTGTGTTGGGTCTTTGTTGCTGCGCGCGGACTTTCTCTAGTTGCAGCGAGTGGGGGCTGCTCTTCGTTGTGGTGCACGGGCTTCTCATTGTCGTGGCTTCTCTTGTTGCAGAGCACAGGCTCTAGGCGCACGGGCTTCAGTAGTTGTGGCGTGTGGGCTCAGTAGTTGTGGCTTAGCTGCTCCGAGGCATGTGGGATCTTCCCGGGCCAGGGATCGAACCTGTGTCCCCTGAATTGGCAGGCGGATTCTTAACCACTGAGCCATCAGGGAAGTCCCTGATTTCTTATATTTTTATACATCTTGTGGATTGGGCCTGTTTTTCTTTTATCCCACAAGTACTGATTGAGAGCTAGCTGTATACAAAGTACTCTGCTAGGCCCTTAGAAAATAAAAAGCCTTTGCGGAGCTCCCTATCCTGGACAGAACATGAGAGAGATATATTAGGTGGAATCATGTGAGATTGCCATTGGAAATTTACATGGGAAGACTTCACATGGTTCAACTCGACACATAACTAAAATGAGGCGATAGAAGATTAGCTGAATATACTGACCTCTCGTTATGTTTCAGGCACCATGCTAAACATTTTATGTGCGCTAGTTCCCGGATCCTTAAAATAACTCTCAGATGTGAGTACTATAATTATCCCGGTTTTATAGATGAGGAAGTTGAAGCTCTGTGGGGTGAAGTGACTTGCCCAGAGCCACACACCTGGTGTGTGACAAAGGTGGAATTTGAACTGTAGTCAGTCTCAGTACACAGCCAGTGCCCTTAAGTCTCAGAATATAAGTACCTCAAGAGGTACAAATAAAAGTAACTACCTTATTTATGCACGTTGAGAACTTTTAATTTTTTATGTCACAAACACTGTATAGAGCACTTACTAACTTATCAGGTATATTTCAGATTTCTGTGATCTGGTCACATCTGGACACATCTGGTCATGCATATCACCACTTAATCTCCAGCATTTGCATTCTCCCCCTCTGAGAACAGCCAACCAACCAAGGGGAACATTTGGAGGAAGAACACAGAAAAAGAGGAACATTTCCACTTTTACTTGTTATGTGGACATTGGACCTTTTTATTTAGAGGCCCAAACACATGCTAGAATGTATCAATTATGATTACAACTTTTTTTTTTCTCCTGTGTCCAGTTGCCCTTCTTTCTAGGTCACATACACAGACGAGCATCATAGGAGTGAACATTTAATTGTACATAATTAAATTGTAGGCAATACAATTAAAGTCTTTTGCATATAGTCAAGCCATTTTAAGAACTTTCCTCTTTAGAAGTTTCCTAATCTTACATTCAGATACCAAAATCCTGTCTATATAAATCATAACTTAAAATTTTATGTACGAAGGGATATCCCGTTTTTAAAATGTTACATTTTTTTATTTGCAGGCAAAAAATTTAAGAAGTTGTTTTTTATTATTAAATGATATCAATTTTCATGTTACCTGGTGAATCTGAGATTCTCCCCACTGCTGTCCCAATATTTTTTGACCCCCCCCGAAATATTTTAAATTACCTTTGACAACTGGCATTCTCAAAGTAGGTCTTCCCCAATTAGAGGGTGATCCCCTCTGCCTATACCACACCACTGAACTTGGTTTATATTGAAACATCAAGGACTGCTTGTTCCTAGGATCCTTTTTGGGCCTTGAAGAGAGGGTGAGTTGAGGAATCAACCATGCCTGGGTTCCCCCAGCCCTTATTAGACTGATGACCTCAGGCAAATTACAGAAACCACTGGGAGACTCATCTGCAAAAATCTGGATAATTAAACATTATTCTATCGGTTTGTGTTAAGGTTCATGCAATAATGTATAAGATAAGAATAAAGTATGTAGAATAATGCCTGGCAGCACTTAGTAGGCCCTCAATAAGTGTTAGTGCTCTTATATTTGGGCATTCATGAAAAAGCCTGCCATGCCCTATCCTCTTCCTGAATTCACCTCTTTGTTAGGTGATCTCTTAAAAGTCAGATTTGTGTTTCTTAGGGGTCTTGGCCTACTTGGGAGAACAGCTTTCTGAAATCCATTAATATTTCATTGGAGCTGTGGAGCAACAGCTGTAAAACTTGCTTGGTGGGCCCTAATTGCAATGAATAATCTATGGACTCTTTTGAAATGTAATTCTTCAAAATGTGTATTATAATTAAAATCCAGCCAATCCAAAGGCACTTTAAAACAGGTTTTAAAATTTCCCAAGCCAATTAGAAAACTGGTTGGTCCAACTGTCAAGTGTAGAGAAATATGCAAATTTATGCAAAGACTACTGTTCCAGGAAGACCTTGGCTGAATGTGAACACAACACACATCTAAGAAAACACCTCCATGATACTATGTGATACTAAATCACTGACTGTATTTATTGAGGTAGGTCTAAATACAAAGCACACATTGTGAGTGACAGAGTGGCAGTTACTAGAACAAAATATGTTTTGTTTTTTAAGAAGATCTTCTATCTTAAATATGACAACATTGTATGCCAACCTTGACATACTTACCTTGTGCAATAAAATAGCATAGTTACAGTATCCTTCTAAAAGCAAACAAGGTGTGCTACCATTATGTTTTTTAATGCTAAGGGGATATTATTATATTAGAAACTAACGAATTCTACTTAAGTAATTTAAATCTAGGGATAATTGTATTTAGAACTCAACAAATATCTGGGGGATATGGGTTTGAGATTTCCTGTTTATCAGCAGGACCCCATTGCTATATGCATTACAAACTAATTTAAAATAATTTTAGAGGGCTTCCCTGGTGGCGCAGTGGTTGAGGGTCCGCCTGCTCGATGCAGGGGACACGGGTTCGTGCCCCGGTCCGGGAAGATCCCACATGCCGCGGAGCGGCTGGGCCCGTGAGCCATGGCCGCTGAGCCTGCGTGTCCGGAGCCTATGCTCCGCAACGGGAGAGGCCACAACAGTGAGAGGCCCGCGTACCGCAAAATTAATAAATAAATAAATAAATAAAAATAATTTTAGAGTTTTTCTGGGGCTTACGTATGTATTTTTTAAAATCTGAATCACATTTTTGTTCACTTTATCTTTTACCTTGATGTTTATTTAAAATAAAAGGCAACAAAACCCCCACTATATTTTTGTGGGCATTTACAGGAAAAGTAAATGTAATTAACCTAAACCACAAAGGCACCCACTCCCAATCCACAGTCATAATTAACATTTATTTAAATGCTCTGGATGCTGGATGGTTTATGGAAACGTCTCAGTTTGAGATTTGATATTAAAAATGGGTGGTAATTATACTTGGACTACAGAATGTTAAAAGGTTGGGTAGCTCTCTCTTTCTCTTTTTTAACCTATTCTATTTCACTGGATGTTTGGGAAGCTCTCTTTTTAAGACTGGGGATCACGTCATGAAAATTCTACAAATGTGGCCGTACAATTATCTGCAATAAAGAGAAAGCAGTGGGAACTGGATGTTTTGAGAGTGACTTACTTAGCTCCTCACCTTCATCTTGGCTGCTAAAGTTTTTTTGTTGTTGTTTTTGTTTTAATGTTAATATACAGGTTTACAGATAAGGTTTCACTGCATTTTGGAATGGAAAGAGGGTGTTGCAAAGGAAAGCTTAGACTTAAAAGTTGGAATGAATCAGTTATTTGCCAAATAACTAAGTTAAAAGTTATGTTTTCGTTTTTGTGTGTTTTTTTTTTTAAAGCATATGCAAAAAGTATGTACTGGGACATGTTCCAGTTAGAGTTCTAAACAAATATTGTTTTTTGTTTTTAAACCCCCCCCCATCGGCGTCCCCCCCCAGCTAAAACTGGTGTGTGTGTGTGTGTGTGTGTGTGTGTGTGTGTGTGTGCGCGCGTAGGGCGCCTGCGGAGAATAGCACGCATCTTGTAGATCTTCAAAAAAAAAAAAAAAGCCAATAACCCTGTTTCTTGACTAAACCACGGCATTTCTTGAAGTTAAAAAGAATCCCAAAGGAAACAGGAATTATCAGCTTTGGAGCTTGATTTTTCTAAAAAAAAAAAAAAAAAAAAAATTTAATTGAAAAAATCCTAATCTTCACATTTTTTGCTAGGCGAGAACCGAAGTTTGGAGGTAGACGAGCAGGCGAGCGGTTTGCCCGGGCACAGAGCATGAAGGCCGGGCGGGCGCGGGGAGCGGGCGCCCGCCGCCCGGCGCGGGGGTGAGCAAGAGAGAGAGCGGAGCGCGTGTGGCCGGCGCCGCTCGGCCGGGAGCTCCCGCGCCCGCGCCCCGCGCCCCGCGCCCGCCGCCGCCGCCGCCGCCGCCCCTGGTGCGATGGCGCAGAAACCCCGTTGACAAGGCACTGCTTTTTCATGACGGTGAGTTTCCCTTTGAGTGTATTATAATTTTGTGATAAAAATTTCAAGGAGAAAAAAAAAACACACACAACCTCCTTCCTCTGCCTCTTTCCTTCGGGGAGGGGAAAAGCGAGGGGGGGAGCTGGAGATATATCTCCAGACAGAAAAGAAAGAGGAGCAAATTAAACACCGAGTTGCCAAAACCAGGATATTAGGTTTCAGCCCAGAGAGCTATTGGCTAAGGCTGTGTTTTTTTTTGGGGGGGGGGGGGGGTTTGTGGGTGGGTGATGGTGGTGGTGGGTGGATGTTTAATGGACACGGAGAAAAGGGGAATCGAGTGTTTATGCCTTTCCCAGCGATGCCCGGGCCCCGGGAAGACCAAGTTCAGTGTCTCGGGCGAGGGCGCGGGCGGGCAGGGGGCGGCGGGGCCGCGATGGGGGCGCCTAGGCGGGGTGGGGGCCCCGGCGCCTTTTTTTTTTTTTTTTTCTTTTCCGCGGATGCAAATTTCTGGAGCGGGGAGAGGGAGAGCCTGGGAAGGGGGATGGCGTGGCTGTTGGTGGTGGGGAGGAGAGGGGAGGGAAGCCGTTTAATGACTCATTGATTGAGCCGGTTTAAAATTAGTTGTGTGCGCGAGTGCGAGTGTGTTTTCCGCCCCCCCACCCCACCCCCCGGAGCCGCCGGGAGCCGGGAAGGAGGGAGCGGGGCTCGGCAAGGGGAGGACGGCGCGGCGGGGCCGTGAGCAGGGGCAGGGAGGGCCAGGAGTGACGGCGAGCGAGGAAGAAAAATAAGCTTTTCCAATCTCCTCCCCTCGGTTTTCCCCCCCTCGTTTCTTCTCTCTCTCGGAAGCTCTTGGGTGTGAATCGCATTTTCTTTCTTCTCGGCAAAATGGACCCCGCGTCTCGAGAGGGGGAGGGGAGCGGGTGGGAGGGAGGCGGCGGCTGCACGGGGTTTATTTTTCATCCTGGCTTCCTCCTTCCCGCTGCTTGTGCGGGCGGCCGCGGCTGGGAGAGCTCGGGGCCGGTCAGCCTCCCCGGCCCGGTCCGGCCCGGTTCTCGGAGCGCGCCTGCCGGCAGGACTGGCCCTTCCCCGTCGCTTCGCTGCCTGGGTCCAAAGCACCGCAGACGACCCGCGGCCTGGCCCGGACGAGCCCTTGTGCCGCGCGGAGGACCCTCGGCCCAGCCAGGCGCCTCCTGCGGGGCCTGTGCGGCCGGTCCGAAGACACGAGAGACTCGGTGGCACTCTTTTGGCCGACAGTGCGCGGGCCCGACGCGGCTCGCGCCCCGGATCGTCCCGGACGCAGGATCTTGCGGGGGTTGTGCGGGTCGGGGTGGGGGGGGTGGTAGCTGGAAGGCGCTAAGATGGCGCTGGGCCTGGCCTGTCGCCAGGGCTGGTGGCGCAGTTGCTCCGCGGGCGCCATCTTACCTGGCGGCGCGGGCGGCGCCCTTCGGGGACGCTTTGCCGACCCCAGGGCTGGGCGGTCCGGGGCGTGGGGGCTACGCTCCGGGGGCCGAAATCTGTACTTGGGCCCGGGGCCGAGTAGCCTGGTCCTTCCCAGTGCCCCCAGACCCGAAAGGCGAGGCAGCCGGCTCGGAGCGGGAAGGGGCTGGGGCCGGCGGCATCTTGTTCCTTTTACCACTTGCGTTGAGGAAGGAAGTGGGCTGAGGGTCGGGCCTTGCAGCCGAGGGGTTCCCTCCCTGAACCCGCAGCCCCCTCCGCCCCCGCCCCAGTCAAAATTGGAGGTGAGGGCTTCCCGTCGTCTTCCTACGGCTTGAACCTGGACGGCTTTGCTTTCCCTGGCCCGGCTTCGGGCAGGGCATGGAGGCTTTTCGTTCATCCTCTTCCACTTCATTTTGAGAGTAAAGTCGAGCCAGGTTACAAAATTGCAGAAAAAAGAGTCGAGGACAGTGTCTGCCTACCTTCTAGTAGGGTAGTTCTGTATAGGTACCCTATGTTAGTTTTTTTAGTTGGTTGTCTTATCACAACCCTGGAGAGACTTTCCTCTAGTTGTCAAATTGTGGGAAGCTGATGGGTTCCAGTGACTTGAAACTTCTTTTTGGCTTTCATATCCCCTATTCCAAATGGTAGTAAATTACGATAGTTTCTTAGAACTCTGATCTGAAAAATTAAACTCGCCTTGAAACACCCCGGAGACTTTTTTCCTTTTTCTTTCTAAAAACAAAAACAAAACAAACAAAAAAGCACTGTGTTTTGGTTCATCTCTTTCTGATCATACAAGACTTCTCAGTTCCCCCACTCATTAAAGTGTTTCCTTAGAAGCATTCATATAAGTATTTATCTGTCCTGTAGTAGCTGTTTATCAAAGTGTGTGTGGGTTTTAACTTTGTTTTCAATTGTTACTGAAAAGATTATTGGGAGGAGGAAAAACATCGGTAAAGCTCTGATCTCTCTAGGAGCCCACCGAGATGGAAAGTAAATAGTTAATTTCTGGTGGATAAAAGTAACATAGTGGCACTATTAGGTGTGTGCTTGTGTTTACAAATACTATAGTGGATGTTTTAGGCCCTATAAGACCTACCATGTGTTGAACACTGTTGTATGCCAGGAATTGTATATATTTACCAGGGGAGGAACTAAAAATGTTTGCCAAGATATTCGAATTGTTCAAGGTCTCGGAAGTTTTAAGTGGTAGAATTGACAGTGGATCCCAAAAGCCATGTTCCTGGCTCTGTATCTGTGGTTTCCAAATCTGAGCATCAGAATCAACTGGGGAGATGTTTTAAAATACAGATTTGTAACATCCATTTGTCAGGGACAGTTGAGGTTTTTTCAAAAGGTCTAATGTGTTAGGCAGTCTCAGTTTTAAGATTCCTGCTTTCAACTTCTCAATGCCCCTAACTCCCTCCAGTTTTGAAATTCTGGCTCATCCAGGATCCCCTGAATATGTAGGATTCTGTGTTATTCCAAAGCTCTCCAGGTGATTCCATTGTGACACATTCAAAACATCGCTGTACTACACTATGGACCGTGCTGCTGGCTCTCTTGAATTGGAACATGAGACGAGGTCTATATCATTTTGAGTTTCAGCACAGTTTTTTTCTGTTTTTTTGTTTTTGCGGTACGCGGGCCTCTCGCTGTTGTGGCCTCTCCCGTTGCGGAGCACAGGCTCCGGACGCGCAGGCTCAGCGGCCATGGCTCACGGGCCCAGCCGCTCCGCGGCATGTGGGATGTGGGATCTTCCTGGACCGGGGCACGAACCCGTGTCCCCTGCATCGGCAGGCGGACTCTCAACCACTGCGCCACCAGGGAAGCCCTCAGCACAGTTTTATTGCTCACATTATTTTTATTTTTCTCCTCCGCCATTTATCAAATCGTTGAAATGATTTTCTTACAGAAAGAAAACTTAAGTATTGCAAGCCTTTAAAATCTTAGCATATATTTTAAAGTAGATAATTTCATTCTATTACAAGTTACATAACTAGGTCTAGCCGGGCCATCTAGTTTAGTCAAGACAGCTATGCAACAAAAATATTGATAGAATTGAATCTAGGGTTGATACAGAATTTAGGAATAGGGTAGGAAATATCCTGAAATAAAAACCTAGAGATAAATCCTTGAAAGGAAGGGTTCTTTCTGATTTTGAATTGGGAAGGTATTTTTTTTGGGTTTTGGGAAGTAGGATGGGAAAGTTATTCTAAACATGAGACTTGATAAGAACAGAGTATGCATTAAAGAAACAGAAGGTCAGGAAGAAACATCCAGAGCAGGTAATGAATAGCCAACCAGACCAAAATGAGAACCGAGTCAGTGAGGAAATCATTAACTTCTCTGGAGCAAGGACTACGTATTTTAGTTATTTTGTGCTTTTCTTTCCTTATTCTAAAATACTAAGATTTTCTTTATTCTAAAGTGTTTAGTGATTGCTAGGGGGAATGGTTGGAAACTTTGATTTTTGATGCAGATGTCAAAATTATATTATCTTTGTGTATATCCACGTTCCTCTGTCCTTCTACATTTTGAAAAGTTTTATAAGGGGCAAACTGTTGGATACCTGTGTGCAGTCTGTGTCCAGTCTAGACTAGTGAGTGGGTGGAGTCCTAGTATTTGTGTCATGTGGTTTTTCTTCCCTTGTTTTTCATGGTAAATGCCAGAGTAATTATTTTCTTTGACTAAAATCCAATAAAGCTTGAAAGGAGGGGAAATCTAAAATAAACCTGCTCAGAGGGAAAGAGTAGCTTCTTTATTTTAAAGTAGCCTTTAGTGAAATTCAAGACAGACAAGATCTCTGCCCTCATGGACTTTATAGTATAGTGCGAAAAACAGGAAATAAGTAAACACAAACAAGATAATTACAGGTTAAGAAAATTTATAAGAAGTTAATAAGCTGTTGGGTCTAAAAGAGTGTGTTGTAGGGAATGGCTGTTTTGGCTAGTAAGAGTCAAGGAGTGTCCCTTTTGAAAAGGTGACATTTGAGCTGAGACTTGACACATGAGCATGTGCTAGCCATGTGAAAAGCTGGGGAGACATTCTTGGCCTGGGAACAAGTGCAAAGACCTTTAGGCCCAGAGGGTGCGGGTGTTGGAAAAGAGAAAAGCAGGAGGAGAATGCAGTGACCTAGAGAGAGAGAGTGCAGGGCTTCTTATATTAGGGCTTGTGGGAGTTTTGAGATTTTAATGAAAATGAGAAGCTATTGTAGGACTTTAATTAGGACAATGATATGTTTTTGTTTTTAAATATCACTGGCTGCTCTGTGGTGCAAGAGAGGAAGCAGAGAGGGCAGTTAGGGGACTATTGCAATGGTCAGCTCAAGGCTGATAGTATCTTAGACAAGTACAGTGGCAGTGGAGATGGAGCAGAGTAGATGGTGGGTTTCAGATATGTTTTGGAGGTTGAATCAGGAGTATTTTCTTCATGGGTTGGCTGTGGAGAGAGAAGGAGGAATCAAGGATGCCTTCAGATTCCTGGCCTAAGCTTTGGTGGCTGGTGGTGCCAATTGCTTGTAGAGAAGACTAGGAGAGGGAGAGGTGTGAGGGGTGGGTTCTATGTGGAACCTTTTAGGTTTT